TTGTTTTTTTTTTTTATTATTAGTAAGTCAAAAAAAATTATGATTATACCGAATAGATTAGAATTTACTAATAAAGATGAATATTGTAAAAAATAAAACAAAGTAAAAGAACTTTATGTGGTGAGGCGGGAATCGTGTGGGGAGTAGCAGTGACATTTCATATTTGTATGCAGGTTAAAAGGCAAAGTGTAAAAAAAATGCCAATAAATAATTAGGACGAATTTGAACATTCTAATATCGTTTTGATAATGAATGAGCTATTTTTATTGATAAGAAAAAATGGAAGACCACTTTCTACACATTTTAAAATAATGTTTAAATCTTAGTGACATACTTTTTTTATGGGATAAGGGTGACAAACGAGCACACAGTCCACCTGATGGTAAGTGGTTGCTGCGGCCCATAGACATCTACATCTATCCTCGTTTGCGAATCAAAATGCAGATGCGTTGTCACCCGTAAGGACTGAGATGGAATGCCTCATTTCCAGTAAAAAAGGCCTCTGGCCACGTGCACTTACCAAGCGAAACGCAGAGGTAAACCTCTACTTCACGCTGGTATTCTGTGAGGTCGTGGTACCACCCCGGTTCGAGCCGGCTCATCCGTGCGACAGCAAAAGCTGCCGCGTGGCTCTACCACTGTTATAACTAACTAACTAACTTTATTTCCAACATGTACAATTACAGTAAAACTCACTTAATACGATCACTTTTAATACGATTTCTCGCATAATACGCCATTTTATATCAGTCCCTGCAACTTGAGGCATGTTTTCATACATTTTTAACTCGCTTAATATGATCGTCACCTCGTCTAATACGCCATCTGTGCAACATCCGAGCTAAGCCGAGTAGCACGCATAATTCTATTCATTGATAACTGTCCCGGCTAAAGAACATCAAGGTGGTTTTCTTACCTCCGAATGCGACAAGCAAGTTGCAACCGATGGATCAGGGCATTATAAAATCCTTATACAAAGCTAGAGAACACGATTGATACATCGCTATCGTAAAGAAATTGAACATCCTGATAGCAAACGATCCTTGACTGTGCATGATCCGATCATAAAATTGCAGCGGCATGGCAAGCAATTAAGCCTGAAACCATACAAATTTTTTTCAAGAAAACAGGTTTCCGAAATAACAATGCTAACGTCGTGTTGGAAGAAGAACCCGCGATACTGCAGGGTTTTCCTGGATATTCTTCCATTGATGACAATGTTGCACCGTTCGAAACCCGTTCAATCGAAGATCTTTTTGAAGATGTGAATAACACCCAAAAAGAGGTCCTTCGTGATGACGATAAAGATGAAGGAGAGTCAATTCCGACTGTCAAACGCAGAGGCATTAAGAGCAGTAAACGGTTTAAGGCGCTATGTATCTATTGTTGCAACTTGCTTTTCGCTTTCGGGAAAAGTCATGTCATTATACCTAGTCAGGTCATAAATTCTGTCACATGTTTAATATAAAATAATTGAACAAGTTTATTAATTATGTAACCATTTATATACCAAAATGAACTTAACAAACATACTTTTGAATACAGGCCTTCAATCTGCGCGACCAGTCGTCTATCGCAGCACGAACGAGGTCCAAGTCAATATCGGCGGCTGCATTAATCAAGGATGTCTTGAGTGACTCCGAATTGGGATGAGGCTTTGAACACGCCTTTTCCTCCAAGTGTTGCCATATCTTGTAATCTAACGGATTCAAATCTGGACTGGAGGAGGGCCAGTCTTCGTGCCGGATGAAGTCGATTTCACGCGCTGCCAGCCAGTCTTGTGTGCTCTTCGCTCTATGAGCTGGCGCCGAATCTTGTTGGAATACCCAGTGCCTGATATTGAACATGGTATGAGAAACAGGTTCCACAAGGTTCGTCAGGACTGTATTTTGATACACAACTGCATTCGTTTTTACACCTTTCTCACAAAAATGTACCTCTGTTAAGCCCCAATAAGAAACTCCCAACCATACCATGAGCGAGGATGGAAAATGACCTCGTTGGACACGCGGAATACGGTTGCTCGCTTCTTCACTACTGTGTGCGTACACCTTATCATTTTGTTTGTTGTAGCTCTCTTCTACGGTAAAAATCTTTTCATCCGAAAAAAAAATTCCCGATATTTTTTTCCCGCATACCGCTTCAACAAAGCGCGGCATCTCTTCAGTCTCAAGTCCATTAGACGAGCATTCAAACGATGTCCTCTTTTTCTTCGATATGCCCGAAGCCCAAAGTCTTCATTTAACACCCTTTTCACCGTGGTTCTGCTTAACTCCATCTGAAGGGCCAACAGTTTCTGCCTACGTTTGGGATTTCTTTGAATTCGCGCCTTCACAGCTTTTATCACTGCTGGAGTCCTAACAGACCGAGGGCGACCACTTCTTGACCTGTCATCTACACTAGAGTCTTCATTGTATCGTTTGATGGTACGATAAAAGAATCTTTTGGTTATATTCAAATTTTTTAGTATGTCAAAAATTTGAATTGGCGCGTAATACCGCAACGATGCAACGCAATAACTGCAACACGGTTTTCTTTAAGCGTCCACTCCATATTTAAAAATGAGTAAAATTCTAAAAAGTATACAGTTTTATTTTCATGAACAATTCGAAATTCGAATTCAATAAACTTTTTTGTGGCCAGCATTCTAAAAGAAAAGTTTTTACTGTGTGACAATACTTATGACCTGACTAGGTAAATAATATCTAACTATAATGTATAATATTATAGCTTTCTAACAAATTTATAAATAAACTAAATTAAATACCTACAAAAAATTTGTTAATGATGTTATGTTTTATTTTCCATATCCCGCATAATACGCTTTCCCGCATACTCAGTAACATTACTTTTTCCTGGCTTTATTTGAAATAAGCAAAAAAAAAATTGCAATTTTTTAAGATATTTTACCTGACTAGACGCAGTGCAACTAGTTTTATTGTATGCACAGGACCGAATGGACCTACATATATATTTGTCTATGGAATGGACTCATACTTTGGGAATATACACATACAGAGGGGAACGCCCGCGTATGGTTACTCTCCTCCGGCCTGCAGGTGGCCCAAGTTGCTCTATCACTATTTTACGAGTGTTGAAACTGTCAATTTCAAATAAACATAGCGCCTTTTTCTCTTCAATGTCAAAATACAGGGCTCCCAACGTAGGAGTTCCCGCCTAAATTTAGGGGGTAAATAAGTGGAATGGGATTTTTGGGGCTATATTCTTTTTGGGTATTTTTAGGCACTTTTATTTTCTCCCACTTTAGCTGATTTTTATTTAGAAGTTAATGATGTTGCGGTGTAGCTGGATGTAAATCTTTTGAAATGTCTCAGAATTAGAAAAGTATGTTTTGCATTAATTATCACTGTTGTAATTTCTTATTATGCTACCAAGTGTAATGATGATCTGATTCACATTAAATGTATGTTTATTTAATATCCAAATGTATGATTTTATACGTGGTAGAGCCAAGCTGCAGAAATATTTATAATATAGTTGTAGCACGAATGGGTCGGCTCGACCGGGGACGGACCACGCTCTCACAGAATACCAGCGTAAAATAGCTTAATGCTGATGTGTTTTGTATCGTGAGTGTAGAGAACTGGAGACCCTTTTTACTGGAAAAGAGGCATTCCATCTTAGTCCTCAAGGCTGACAACGCATCTGCATTTTAATTCGCAAACGAGGATGGACGTAAATATCTATGACCCACAGCAACCACTTACCATCAGGTGGACTGTGTGCTCGTTTGTCACCCTATTTCGATAAAAAAAATATGTTGGAAACATCTGAAGAAACGTAATAATATTTGAAATATTAAATTATTTATATTTAAAGACCATTACAAAGCATTGTACTTATTTTATGAGAGAAAGGATGTAAATAAGGTGATTTTAGGAGTTTTGACTTAACCTTTAGGGGTAAATATTTTTTTGAGTTGGTAACACTAAAATTAATATTTTCATTTTTTTTTGGAGTTTATGGCCTGGTATCTAGACCTTTAGGCCAAGTCTTAAGTATTTTTATTCGGTTTATTGTAATTTCCCCACTCCTTCATAGTATACTGCTTCACAATATGTTGATGCGTCACATTGTGCAGTTCTTGGGAGATTTTGGCGGCAACTTGATCCAGCAGACAGCTGATAGTTGGCGATGGTATCTAAAGGTGCCTATGCAAACAAACAGCTTATCTTGAGAATCCATCACCATCAGAGCACTTGTTTCACTGTTTCCACTAATAGTTCACATGCGTAGACACTTAATACACAAAATCGCAACACTTTTACATATCAAAGTCCACTTCAAACCATTATTTAAACAATAATACAGGAGCAGCAAACCGCCGCCGGTCAATTTCCCGCCAAAACTCCTTTATTTCATTTTTATTATCACAGAGTACTTCATTATCTTTCTTAGTTACTTTCCTGTATAGGACAGTTACTATACTCTTTGGTTACTATATTCTTTGGTTACTATATTCTTTGGTTACTATACTCTTTGCTTCTTATAGAGAGTTTTGGCGGAAACTTACCGGCGACGGATTGCTGCTCCTGTATTATTGTTTAAATTATGATTTGAAGTGGATATTAATATGTAAAAGTGGTGCGATTTTGTGTATAAAATGTCTGCGCATGTGAACTATTAATGGAAACGGTGAAACAAGTGCTCTGATTGTGATGTGATTCTCAAGATATGGTGTCTGTCTGCTTAGGCGCCTTGAGATACCATCGCCAACTTTCAGCCGTCTGCTGGCTCAAGTTGCCGTCAAAATCTAGCAAGGGCTGCTCAATGTGACGCAATAACATATTGTGAAGCACTATACTATGAAGGATAATATTGTAACATTGTAACTTCAGGCTCAGAAGGGCTCGAACCCAGAGCCGTAAAGACAGTTATTAAAAAAAAAATGCTTTTTATTGATAAATGATAATGGTTTTTAATTTTAGTGATAATGAAGTTAAATTAGAAGAAATTTTGTAAAATAGTACCTAAATAAAATGTTTTCCTTAAATCATCAACTAGAGCTTAAAAAGATTGCTGTTTCAAGTTTAATCACTTGTATTTATTTGCCGAGTATCGTTACTGTGATATCTTACAAAGGTATTTTATATTCGATCGGAAAAAGCTCTTCATTTTATGTTTTAGTTTTGATTTTCATCGCGGAGTTGCTGAAATCGTTTTATCTTAATAGCAATGTTCAAACTAAAAAGTATAAAGGAAACAGAAATCGAGCTGGAGATATAGTAAAGGCGTTTGTATTTCTACTTGGAGTTATATTTTGTTTTTTTGTCGGTATAATACTGTTCGGAGCACCAGTGTTAGAATCCCATGACGAGACACTGATGTTATCAACTCTACTCACCCTTCTAACAGTGTTTCCATTAATAGCCCTTACTGGAGTGGAAGCATCAATGCAACTTCTATTTGGAGTAAAGAATTTTTCAAGAGATACTGTAATAGAGATGCTTGTTAATAATGCATTGCTGACTGTCTGTGGGGCTTGGCTCGGTGCTGTTGTGATTCCATTGGACTGGAATACGCCTTGGCAACAATGGCCCATACCATGTTATCTTGGAGCAATTGGTGGATATGTATTTTCAAATGTTTTGAGTGTAGTAAAAATAACAATGATGTCTGCAGCAAACAAATATCCAGTATTAAATTTTTTTGTTAGTGTATTAAACAAATTTAATTTATCTAAGTGAATAATTATTGTTAAAAATAGATAATTTTGTATTTTTATTAAAAGTATTGTTATTTTGTTTTGTATTTTATTTCACAGATATTAGAATTATCAGCAAAAAAACAAGTTTTTATATGTTTATTTTATTATTGTTATACAGTCCATATTTAGTTATTAGCTTATTAAGTTACTTCTTAATGATATCAAGATAAATATCAGCATCATGAAGTATGTGGAGCAGGTAAAATGTATCTCAGCTCTGGGGAGAATCATATGCTTATAATTTGGCTCCAGATGTAGTAGGACCTGTTCATATTGGTACAGACCTTTACTTACAGTGGGACATATTATACTGCCTGTTATTATGAATATACAAAACTAAGGATTTCTAAGTTTATATTTTATCTAGTATGTTTTCCAGGATTTCTGATAATAACCCACAGGACACGGTGCAACTGTGAAATCTCATTTAAGTGCTAAAATAATTCTCACACAAGACAAGAGCTGGTATTCATTTGGACCAACAGTTCTGTCGCTGTCTAGCTTTTAGCTCTTACTGTTGTACTCTGTAACTCTGTATGCCATGCCTCTATGTTTATTGTTTGCAAGCTAATCACAAAGCAGTTGTAAGTTGGCTTCACTCATTTCACTTTTGTACTTTTCCCTTCACTCACTTAGTTACGAGTTGGATAGGTTAGGCACATATCGGTCCCACAAGTATGTATGCTAATAATACCAGACCTAAATATTAACCTATGACAGAACATCCTGTGAATGTCACAGTCTAAGTTCTCTTGGATGTCACTAATGTGAATAGTACTACTCAGGGCTCTTACAGATGAGCGACAGTAGGTCTGCAACCGCTCGCGACACTAGTCGCCGACGCTCGGCAATGGTTGGCCATAGCTTGCGGGTACAAGCACGCGACCTTGCGCGAAAATCGCCGACCGTCGGTGATTGTCGCCGACCATCGGCGACTGTCGCTGACATCATGCAAAACGTCAGTCCTTATCTTATAGTCGGAGAGAATGCACGTATTTTTTCGCATGACTGTATCTTGACGAGATATTAGTCCCTTAAAATGTTCATCAACTCCTCAAAAGAAGATATAGACATTCTAAAGTAGATAAAGAACTTATCCTTATCTTTTCCATAATAGTGCATACAGATTAATGAAAGCATATGCTGGTTTCTGTATGTCAATATTTCGTGCATCCACAGACGGCGATTTTTCCATTTTCGATGTCGGCGGCGGAGCAAAAGTAACAACAGTAATTCTTCATCAAAATCCATTATAGGCAACAATGACTCTTAAACTATAATTCTTTTAATAATTTAAATTGCAGGTCATGAGTTCAAGACGGCTGTTGGTGGCGACTGGTGTCGCGAGCGATCACAGAACCCCTGTCGCTCGTCTGTAAGGGCACTCAAATATATACGCCAATATTCACTTGATACATTTGTAAGAACGATTAATGTGTCAGTCTGACCAAATGTTAACCAGCTCATAGTGCTTACAGTGTATGTACAATCATTATTGAGGCACTTACTGTTTTTTTTATTCATTTGCATTAGATGTAATGCTCAGGAATAATAACAAACAGGTCCAAATGCCATGAAAATTATGTAGAGACAACTGCTATACATTCAGATCCAAAAACAACTTATAATGGAGCCCTGTGATCAAACTCGCAATGAATGTTTAGTGCTTAAGCTTAGCATTTAATAGAAAAGCTTTAGGTACCGCCACTATGTCATACAAATTTCTGAAAATATAATAGAAATATATATTTTTTAAATTTAATATAGATTGTAGATAATATTTATAGAATGTCATTGTTTTTGATTTTGCACTCTGAACCCATAAACAGACCGTTACCAATCAAATCTAAAAATAAACTTAATCAACTATTAATAGCCTGCAAACTTTAATACCTATTCCTTTTACTGAAGTTATCATCGTTGGATAAATAAAACAATAACATAGTAAATTAATAATTTTATTTTGTGTTTTGTTAAATATTTACATACATAGCCTAAAAACAATGCACTTATTTATTTAATAAAATATGAAACTTAACTAATTTTATTTCACATTGTTCAGAAAATTCCTCATTTCATAGTAATGTTAAAGGGTACAAGACATATGTAAATGTGCCTTGTACTGTTTAACCTTTAACAGTGATAAACTTTGCGAAAATGCGGTTAAATGTAACGGATAAAAACACCTAAGGCATTCTTAATAATGATTTATTGTAAGCGTACTGCAATGAAAACACCAAAAAATAAAAAAATAAACGACTTAATTATATATTTGGAAAATAAATCAAGAAATTCATTACATATTTATTATTATATAACTAATAAGCTAATGGAAGTAGTGTACATTAGCTTATAAGAATACTAAATTAAAAATACAAATAATGATTACATTGCAGTATCTTATGCCTATTCTATGTGAATACAGCAGAGAGTACATTACATTAAAGATGATAAAAAATCTTGGAAAACCTTACAACATACAAGTATAATAATTTTTCATCATTTATAACAACACCGCATTAAAATACTATTCAACTCTTAACTTTCTATGCGTTCACACGGTATATTGCATGTAAACGTTTAAAACATTAAATTTTCTGAAGTGTAAATACAGTGGCACGTTGATGAGTGGTCAGTTTGTAAAAAATATAATGTTCTGTTTATGAATGAATTCAACAAGTGCTGTAAATATTTGGAACCTCTTAAACCAAAACAGAATGTTAACCCAATATAATATAGTATTATCTATGAAGGTATGAAGTTAACAGACTTTGATATTTGTTTCTAATAGCTCAATCATCCGGAGCAGTTTAACAATTAATAATATTTCGAATGTAAGTGTTACCTTAACTCGTACAAAAATATCTACCGATTTGGAAGGTTTTACTTATCTATGACACCGTGAATAATTTTATTATTATGGCACGCACTACAGAAGCGTGGTAGCTTTGCTAATGTGGCAGTGTCTTATTTACATTGGTAATCTTTTCTTTAATTCGACACAACAGTTGCACAAAAATTTAATTAAAATGAATCACGGATGTTATTAAGCTTTTGTTGTAAATTTGTTAAAAAATAACCAATGAAACATATTTCAACATAGATAATGAAGACATTCAATACCTAGGAGTAATTTATTATAACAACTGAAGACAATTTACTAATAATAATTACCAGAGTCTAATACGCTGAATGTCATATTAAACGTTTTTATATAATTTTGCCTAAATTAGTACCAAAAAGCTTCACCACAATGGGTAAACAAGTTTATCAAACATAAAAATATTTATCATAGGCCTCTTTATTATAAATCGCCAATTACTAAAAAATGTCAACAACATTATATACAATGAATTCCTATAAACTATTAATTACAAGACTAAATCACCTTTTCAAAAATGTCATATATTTTTTTTTATTATTCTTTAATGGAACATGATTTACTCAATATTGATATTTGGCTAAAACATTTTAAACATAATTAATCTGACTTGACACCAATTTTGATTTATATGGAAATGAAAATAAACAAATATAAACAAAATTGGTCATAACGTATTGTTAATAACATTCATGGCAGTTTGAAATTTTAGGACACAACATTTTAAAAATAGTCTTTAATATGAAAAAAAAAGCGATGAATTCGATATTTTAATTCTTGGTGTATTAACAAAATGCACTTTCGATATGTTTAATTTTGACCAGAATTTTAAAGCACTACTTTACAGTTCGGATCAATATGCCTAGGTAACAAAATAATAAAAAATTTAATTAATTGAAAACGGTTACGCCTAAAATACCCTGTCGCAGGATCATATTTAATATAGAAATGAAATCGGAGTCGATTGCAACAGTATAATATGAGAAATTTTAAAGGTTCTACTAGGTAAAAGTTGTGGCGTTTCTGAACTCAAATTATTACAGTGATGTTAACAACATTGTGGTAATTTAAACAAAAGAGTGACATTCAATAAGTATTATTTATAATCTATGTTGAATAAAAAAAGTTTCTGTTTCTATTGGCACGCTCTTTCGATTTGTTCCTGCTTAGCCACGACCGAGGTAAGACGTCGCCTTTAGTTTAGCTGGCTGCCGCTATACTAACTAATAACTGTATTTATAATATTTTATTACTTAAAATATAAGAATTGTTGTTATTTTAGTTTTACTAAGTCTACCTTTGATAGTTAATTAGTGTGTAAATAAACCGTCTACAAAAACAAGGCGGAGGAAAATTGCAATTCGTGTTATTTCAGCGAGGTACTTATAACCTACTTATCAACTTTTGAGGAAAATATCATAGGTACGTTTGACATTTTTGGCAGCGGCATCTCAAAAGTGTATAGATGTAAATACTTAGTACTAAAATAAAAAAGAACTATTTTAGTAAGTAATAAAGTAGTAAAATGGCGGTAATATACAGTACCCAGTTACAAACAGTCATTTCGCCTCGGTCGGAAATGGGCGGGAAGAGAGCGGCAATGTTGTCAACATCACTTTGTAAGCAACATAATAATTTACGTTCAGAAACTATTTTGAACCAAATTATGTAAGTTAAAGAAGACGTGAGTAAAATTATTTATACCAAAAAAATAGGTAAGATATCAAGCATATATTTTAAATGGTTGAAAATACAAAATATTATTACAATAGGAATGAACGGACAGAGGCCGCGTGTAGAACACTTGCAGTAAAAACACCAAGAGACAGTTTATTATGATAACTATTATTTGCTTACGTAATAATATAAAAATGCACCACTCATACTAGGTTTACATACTTCCAACAATCACATTAGTTCTTACTGGTATTCCTGCTTAATTATCAACTAATATGCCCATGCTTTAATATGTTAACAATTAAGCAGAAGTTCCAACAATAATGATAACAGCGGCCCGCTATTTCGAATACGTAGCCCATCGTAATATCTTAATATTTAAAGGCTTACATTAGATTTTGCTTAGTGCAGTTTTCGATTGA